GAAGAGGTTTCCAAAAAGGATCATTGCGATATTTTTCGAGCTGTTCCTTAGTCAAGCCAATTGTCTTCGGTTCTAGCTCGAAAACCACTTTCTCAGCATTCTAAAATCATTTCTATGAACACCTTGCTTACTCTGGAAACCCTTCACATACCTTCTCGAATGTAGCTTGGTTTGACTTCCCTTCTTCTACCATAAGCGCCTGTTTGGCAGCCATTTTGATGGATGAGGTGCGCCCTGAGAGGGACTTAAACCTACAGTTGTTTAACCATACACAATACTCGGCTCTGTCACGACATTAAACAAAGGGCGATACTCTAATGCCCAGAAGTTCTAATACAGTAGACAGTAGGCAAGCTTGCAGAAAGGATTAGAGAAATTTAGCGAATCAGGTACGATAGAGCTTCATCTGTCAAAGAAAGAGACTGTTGAGCCTAGCTCTATCTTACCTATTTCGATAGAAACAAAGAGGAAGGAAAAGTTCATATTGAGATGCATGTTTATTCAGAAATGCTACAAAGAATGACTAAGAAACATAAACATTTTCGCAATTTCTTTTTCGGAATTACGACCTTAGCAGATACGAAGAAAAAGGTTTCCCTTAAGTTGCAATACCTAACGATAAGTTCCGCAAGTCTACGAAATCTGTAAGATGGAGCATTAATGTATGGTAGATATAAGCGAGAAGGTGCGAAGAAGTTTACGACATTTTATCGTCCTGGAATGACGGCAATGCGTTGTTTGCGAAGGGGAGGGAGTTGGGCGATCGATGTGGGTCCGCCTTCGGGAGAGATAAACGATAAAAGAGAGAACGAGAGTTTCGTTGAAGTGAACGAAGGATTTGAGGAGTTTAAGAGCAAAGCTCATAAGCTAGTAGGTCGCGGTGACAACGAGTGTTAAAGCTTGTGCACCTATTGGGGAGTCTGGGCATAGGACTAAGAATAATATAGAAGTTACAATAGAAACGGGACGGATATAACCTCATTTACATGAATTTGGATAAATCTACAAACAAGTTTACTTCCACCGAAGTTTCGTGATTGTGATTATTCCTGAGTTCGCTTAAGTTCAATTCATTTATGCGTTACTTCCTAATTTTTGCTCTTACTTTTTCTCACCTTCTCAATTCCTTCTTCCAGAAAATTACAAAATTAATGTTCACGATGCACTTGGCTGTCCAAAATTGAACGCTACATCTTCCAACGAACAGCCATCCACTACAATCCTTCTCTCTCCTTGACTCCTCTTATTGTACTTAAGAGAACACCTGAACCATGAACAGTAAGGCTTTTTCAAATCATACATACCTAAGCTATAGAATTTTCGAATCGTGCGTATGATAAGCTAAGTTCGCCAACCACGAAAAAAAAATAAGCGAGTGTTATTGACACTCATCTGGTTGTACGAAAATTGCATCATTTGTTACCATGTATAATAACATAATGATTTCTCTTTACCTTTTGCTTCAAAATTTTCCTGAATTATCGTAAAAGTCAAGTAGATACATCGGCTTTAACTCAAGGAAATCTTGCTTTTGATCTGGCTCTTAGGAATTCGGAAATTGCGAGAAAACTTCCAATATATTTCCAGAATTGTTCAGCTTCTTCTTTCTTCACGTTCTACCGCTTTTTATCTATTTTCTAGTATGAAGGTCGGACATTTATTGTAATGACACTTGTTAAGATAACTATTATCTATCATCGAGCGAATATCGTATTATAGGTCACGTACGCGAATTTATCGACCAGTTATAATCAGTCATTCGATGATAATATTCAGAAGCAGCTTCTAATTATATCACGCGTA